GCAGGACCCCCGTGCCCGTGTGGTCGGTGGTCCCGGCCGCCAGCGCGCTGCGGGCGCCGAACACGTCCAACACGGCCTGCGCCAGCGGGGCCAGCGTCCCGCTCTCGTACACCTGCACCCGCAGCAGCACCTCTGAGGGGCAAATGGGGATTCAGGGGGAACGTGGCATCACCCTGGCAGTGGGACCAACCCACGGGGGCACAGCTGGTGGAGGGTGGGCACTATCCCAGGGGGTACAGGGTCACCATTCAGGGCCTCCATCCTGACAGCTGATGGGACCTCTCTCAGTGGGTCCTGGTCACCGCCCTGATGGGTCATGGCCACCATCTCAGCAAGTCATGGCCACCATCCCAGGGAGTCCTGGCCACCATCCCAGGGAGTCCTGGCCACCATCCTTGGGGTCCCAAGCCACCGTCCCAGCAGGCGGTGGGACACATCCTGTCAGGTCGTGGCCACCATCCCAATAGGTGGTGGGATCTGTCCTGCTGGGTCATGGGCACCATCCAGGGGGGGTTCTAGGGTCCTAGGCCTCTATCCCAATGGGTGATGGGATGTGTCCTGATGGGTGATGGTCATCATCCTCATGGGATCACAGGCCCCCATTCCAGCAGATGGTGGGGCACATCCTGGCAGGTCATGGCCTCCATCCCAACAGGTGGTGGGACCTGTCCTGGTGTGTCATTGCAACGATCCTTGTGGGATATGGGCACTACCCCAGCAGATGGTGGATCATGGCCACCAGCCCAGGGGGTCAGAGGCCACTATCTCAGGAGGTCCCAGGCCACCATCACAACAGGTGGTGGGACACATCCTGGTGGATCATGGCCACCAGCCCAGTGGGTCATGGCCAGAATTCCAGTAGGGGATGGGACCTGTACTGATGGGTCATGGGCACCATCCCAACAGGTGTTGGGACCTGTCCCAGCGGGTCATGGCCATCACCTTGGTGGTCCATGGTCACTATCTTGGCAGGATGGTGGGACCCACCCTGATAGGGACCATCCCAGAAGGCCATGGGCACCATCCTGGTCAGTCACAGCCACCAACCTGACGGGTCACGGGCACCATCCCAGCAGGTGGTAGGACCCATCCCAGTGGCCACCATCCCAGCAGGTCACAGCCACCTCCCAGCTGGGTCACAGGTGCCCCCCAGCAGGCAAGAGACACTGTCCCGGCTGATGTGGGCACCACCCCTGTGCCCCTCTCTCTGCCCGCCCTGCACTCCCCCTGGGGGGGAATCATGGCCCCAGGGAGTCATGCCCATTTGGGTGGGTGCACTCAGTCACATCCCCCCCACACCAGGGGCCACCCAGGGCCACCCCCCAAGGTGCCACTCTCATGTATCACAAGTTCGGGGGGTCTCGACCCCAGCGGGCCCCACCAGCAGTGCAGGGGGTGGTCCCCCACTGCTGCAGGGGAGGGGTGAGCCCTGTTCGAGGGGGAGGGGGTACCCTAAACCCTGGTGTGCCCCCGGCCCCCCCGAGCCGGCGCCGTTCCTGCGCATGATCCGCAGCCTTTGGCAGCGGTCCCGGCTCCGGCGCCGTCACCCAGGCAACGACCTCCTTCATCCCGCGCCCCGGGGCTCCCGGCACCCCCTGCCTGTCCCCCCGCAGCCCTTGCCCCCCCAGAGCCCCCACACACCACCCAGCCCACCCCCGCCCCCGCCCACATGTGGCCCAGATGTGGCAGAGGGTGAGGGGGAGAATTCCCGGCAGCTGCTTCAGGGATGCACCGGGCGGGGGTCCCGCATAGCAGGCACAGCCGGCACCCAGGGGCAGGAATGTCCCCGCGGCCACAGCCGGCCACCCGCAGCTGCCGGGGGACAGCTGTCACCAACGGCCACCCCGCTGTCCTCTGGAAAGGGGGGGTTGAATGGTGCCACCCCCAGCACGGGGGTACAGCTGCGGCTTCCCCACTGTCTGTCCCCCCACTTTCACCAAGGGGTCCCCAGAGGCTGGCACGGCCACCACGGGGTACATTGGCCCCGCTGCTGACTCCCCAGTGCCTCCCAGTCTGACCCCAGTGCCTCCCAGTCTGACCCCGTGGTCCCATGAAGGATGGGTGGGGGTGCCAGGCCCTGGGGTGGCAGTGGGGAGCCCCGTCACTGCTGTCACCCTGCTGGGACAGGGACGGGCAGGGGAGATGCCACTGGGGAGCTGAGCCAGCACAGACAGGACCTCCCTCATCCCTGGACACGCCTCACCTTGGCACAGGGGCACTGCCAAGAGGGTTTGGGCTGAGGGTGAGGGGTCACAGTGAGCTGTAGGGACCCCACAGTGGCGCTGCACCCCAAGGCCTACCCTGCCTCCCCAATGCACTCCCCACCATCCTGCACCGCTGGGTGCTGCTTAAGACCCCCACCCACCCACCATCGTGCACCACTCAGCATGGGACCCCCACCCACCCTCCTGCATCCACAAGCTCTGTCCATCATCCCCACCCAACTTCCTTCACCCCCTTGGTTGGTGACCCCCCCCCACCATCACACACCCTCGGCACTGCCCAGGACCAGCCCCCCACCATTCTGTACACCAAGGCCTGAGACCACCCCCAGCCTCTCATCCCCCCCAAGCTCTGCTCATGACCCCCCACCCACCCAGCCGCACCCCCTGGCACGGCCCAGGCCCTCCACCCACCCCCCACCCATCACTCTCTGCCCGCCAGTGGCCAGAACCGCCCGGGGAGGGGGAGACGGACAGACAGACTGGGATGGAGGGGGACAGGGGGGGCATTCGGACAGACAGAGCCGGGGGCGAACGGAGGATGGACAGGGGGATGGATGGAAGGGATGGACGGGGGGCGCGGGCGCGGCAGGGTTGGCGCGGGCAGGGACGGGGGTGTGGGGACCGGGGAGTGTCGGGG